AATTGACCTTGAAAAGAAAGGACATCATTAAGGTGAAAAAGTTGGTGCCCAAAAATTTAGCCTGTTATAAAAGGGATGAGAATAGAAAACAGAGCATTGTAAACTCTTGAAAATTTAATTAGGAGTCTCAAATATTTCTCTTCTCTTGCCTCCATTAAACCTCCAAGTCCTGGAGTCACATGGTTGAATCTTAGTTTTCAGCAAAGGGAAAAAAATTTTAGCTGTCATGCCTGCCAAGAAAGCCTTGAACATTCAAAGCCTAAAAAAAATAGGATATAAACCCAAACATTAACTTACATTTTTTAATAAATCTCATTATTTGAATGCAATCTGTCTTGCAGTTCTTAACATAAGATATAGCATTAGTGAAAGCCTAGCATCTGCCTTCTAAGCAGACAGCAGCTAAAGATCCAAAAAAAGATCCCCAGCTGCTATCATAGTCATCATCAGCACATAATGACTGGCATGCTGGAATTGTGGGTAGCTCATTTAAAGCTGTCACATATTCATGCACTCTCTGTTTGACAGATTAACCCCTTCCCTGGGATGCAGGAGCACGCTTGGTGCTCGCTCCCCAGCACCCCCTGTGCAGGAGAGCACGGAGGTGCCTCCAGTAACAGCGCTCACAGCTGGGAAGGTCAGGCCACACAGCAAGCCCTCAGTCTGTCACAGACACTGCCCGTGGAGAAACCCAGACAACTTTCTGTGTGGTGTTCCAGCTCCCTGATCAACAGCCCACTATCTGCTGCTTTGGGGAGTGATATTAAAAATTAAATAAAGATTTCAGGGCTTTTTCCCGGCACTTTTTCAAGCTTCCATGTGCGCGAACAAGAAAATAAAGATTCAAGCTGGAATTTTTCCAGACGTATGCAGAACAATTACTCTCTGGAAATTCTCTTTATCTTCACCCTTGTGGATTTAAATGCACCCTTGAGAAATCTTTCCCTCCTTTCACATTCATGAGAGGAGAGGACATAACAGTTACAATCAGCATACTCCAACCAAGTTGTAGAGGTACCTACCCTACATTTAGTAATTTCCCACTCTCCATTGATGCCACAACTGCCATCCATTTCTAACTTCCACTCTCCCAACGGAGTAGATCAGAAACAAATGGCAGATATGCCAGATCAGTCAGAAGGGCTGTTGTAGCTGCCAACAAATCCTTTGGCTGATTCAACCATTTTGTAATCATCTTACATTTCAGTGCACCGACTCTCAGCCAAAAAGCCTTCAGATCTGTGCCTCAGCCCCCACCACAAAAGAGCAAAATCTGAAGACCTGAACTATAATGGTGTTATCAACAGAGCTAGAGAAAGCATCCAAATTCTCACTTCTGTGCTAATAGCCCCACTCTGAAGACAAATAAAAGCTGGGTTTGGGGGATGCCAAATGAAGTAGCCCTCAAAATAGATGGAGTATCTATTTATTCCACCGCTTGGGGGAAGTGTAAAGAATGGAAATCTACAATAAAATTTACACATCCTTTCTTGCAGTTTTCACAGCTCTCCAGACATACCAGTAAACATTCATAGTCAATCCTATAAGAATCTATGCAGATTTAAAAAGCTGCATGAACTCTGAATATTCATTCACAAGATACTTCTGAAGACATTTTGTCACACTGTTCCCTTTTAGTAACATAGGATTTAAAAAAGAACTGATGAAATACTTTGTATTTAAGAGATTTCTTACAGAAAGACCTACTAATTCGCTTTCCTCAACATTAATGCCCTCCTGAGAAGCACTGCTTACTCCAAAGAAAGCTCCAGTTCTTCCTCAGTAGCTTTTATCAGGAAGCAGGTTCAAGTTACAGGTTGTAACCTGCTCAGTTCTGAACACATCCAGAATGTTTCCATGGATGGGTGAACAACTGTGAAAACAAGTCCTAGTAATATTAGTGAATTCTGCCTCAGAAAAAAACCCACTTTTTAACAGGTATGCTTGGTGAAGAAGATAATGAAGTGACCCTGACAGAACCTGGAACACCAACCACACCTCAGCCTAAAAGACCGCACAATCTCAGTTTAATCCCCATTGCAGAGCCTTACCTGGTGTTTGAAATTCCCTGCCACTCCTGCTGAAGATGCAGCTCCACCACCGCTGCCTTCTGCAGCCGGATGAAATGCGAGCCACACACGGCACACAGACACACGTGCAGTTTGACTGCTGCTTTGCAACCACTACCTAAAGGAATGTGACTTCAAATTTCAGGGGTTTGTGGCTGGCAAGGAAACTTTGCCTGCTCACATGAAAGAAGGGGCCCTTCCCATTCAAAATAATCTTGTTTCATTTGAGGGAAAATTTAAATGTGTGAATGTTCTATTCCTCCTTAGCTGCTAAATACAGGATTGAACCTAATAAACACATCTCTAGGATAAGGGCATCACCCTCTGTTGTTGGGGTTTTTCTTTTGTTTAAATCCACAGGGTTCCTCTTCTCCTCTTTCTCACGTATTCAAGATGAGAGAAGCTTCAGCGAGCACAGCTACCAGCATTCCAATTTATTCAGCAGCAACCCCTGTGGACTGCTAACAGCAGACTGCGATTCTGTTTGGATTACAAGGTGCAGATAAGTAATTCCATCCTTAATCTATCACTGTCAATGCTGCTAGGGGAACAACTTATACCTGTGAGAAGTCAGGCAGAGGAAAAGATAGATTGGGTACAAAAAAAAAATATTGTGGGGTAAAAGGACAGAAGAAATAGAGAGGATACAAATCCATTAAGAGTTCTGTGCACACATGCATGCAGAGGCAGGAAATGAGGGAATGGGATAAAGGAACAGAGTGCTAATATGAAAGTAGCAAGCGGGAAGGAGATATCCAGATTCCGAGCAAAAATTTTCAGTAGCAATGAAAATCTCACTTCCAACATAATCTATGCCTTCCGTTGCAGCAGTCCCAGTGTAAAATGCCGGGGATGTTTGTGACCTGTGAATGCTGATGGATCCCACCACGCTGCAGCCACGATCAATAAACCTCAAGCACATCATCATAGAGCCTCAAAGCCTTCGCTTGGAGACCTGTCAGTAAACTGGGGCAATATTACAAATAGACAACAAAGGATAATGCAAAGATTGCAAAAATGGAACGACGCAGAGACAAGTGAATTTCTCAGAGGATGGAGTGGAAGGCAGAAAAGATGAAAGAGGAGGTAAGCTATTTAGACATAAGTGATGGAGAACATCAATAGCCCACATCTGTTTTATGTGATGGAAGATTTGGGGATGGAAAACAGGGAAAACAATAATGAGACCTGGGATTGATTTTTCTTTTCCCTTTTAAAGGAACAGTAGTGACTCCATCACTATATTTTACTACAAGTCATCATCTACAATTGAAGTCTGCCCACTCAGGCTAGTGAAGACCTCTTCATGTCTTTATCACATAGATAAAAATGTTCTACCCAATGGTATTTTATGTGCATATAGAAGACTCCTTTGATTCAGCTATAGGTTCTCATTGATTTTATGTTATTTGCTTGCCTGGCCAGACATGTCACAGGCAATTTATCCCAGGAAAGGTGAAAGAGCTGCCTTCTAAGCAGTCACATTAAAATAAAATGTTGCCATTAAAATATAACTTGGAAAATTTTCTTTTTGACCCTTGGAATGTCCAGTGTTATAACCCAAATACAGATGCATTATTGATTATTCTGTTCTTCCCAGCCTTACTCACCGTCTCCCACACTAAGCACATTCTGTGTTCCAGAATAAACAACCCAAAGTGCAGCCAAGCAAAGTTTATACCCTAAAAAAGGTATGGATTGCTATTAATGGTATGTTTTTTGGTGGCACAAATCTTTTAAAGAAGCTGCAAGGAGGGGAAAACCCAGGAAGTTTCGTGGTCCTCTTTTCCGACTCCTACCCAAATCCACTCACTTGGACTGCTTAAGGAAGACAGAAAATCAGTTCAAAGAATAAAATAAGGCACAGAAATAGTTTAATAGTAGCCAAGGGAGAGCTTTGTAGAAATATTTTTAAAATATGAAAAAACAAAGAAATTAACCCACTGCAGAGTGAAAGGATCCAAAAATTAACAAGGGGTGGGGGGCGCGAAGGAGAAAGCAGCTAAGAGATCAACAAGCAAGAGAAACTATCTCCGTGAGTACATCAACACTGCCAAACAAAAGGAAAAGCGTGCACTGAAGCAAAGGAGAGCGGATCAGCTGCTGCCCGGCCAGGGAAGGAGCGCAGCTCCGATCCCACAGGGCGCCAGCGGCCTCACAAGCGGCCTGATCCCGCCGCGCTGACCCCCCTTCGTGGCCGACTTTGAAGCCGCCGCAGCAAAGCTCGGGCCCGGGGCAGCTCCGCTCCCGCCTGAGCCCTGAGGGAAGCGTGACCCAAACGCCGGGCCCGGGGTAGCTCCGCTCCCGCCTGAGCCCTGAGGGAAGCGTGACCCAAACGCCGGGCCCGGGGCAGTTTCGCTCTTGCCCGAGCCCTGAGGGAAGCGTGACCCCCAAAGCTCGGGCCCGGGGCAGTTTCGCTCCTCCCCGAGCCCTGAGGGAAGCGTGACGGGAATGCCGGGCCCGGCGCGAGGGACGCGCAGGCCGGTGCAGGCCGCGCTCCCGCCCCGCGCATGCGCAGCAAGGCGCACGGAGCCGGTCGCGTTCCGCGGGCTCACAGGCAGGAAGTGGCGGCTTCTCTGCCCGCTCGCCTCTTCCCGCCTACGGGCTGCCGCAGCTCCTTGCCCGTAACTTTTATAATTTTCTGCCGTGCCCCTAGAGGGTCATTTCAGCCCCGTGATGAAGGGCCCTGTGTTCTACCCAATAACAAGCCGGCTCTCGATGACGTCCTTAGTTGCCAGGCAGAATTCCGCATAGCATCCCCCGTACCGCCGCGGCACCACCGGGAGGGGCGGAGCGCCTTTTTTAATTGACAGCGCGACTAGTGGGCGGGGAGAAACGAGAGAACCAATAATAACTGTGGGTGGCCTTGATGAGCAGGGCCCGCAGCCAATGGGGACGGGCGGGCGGTCGCTCGGTTGCCAGGGCCACGCGGTTGCCAAGGCCTCGGCTCAGCGCGGTGGCGGTCCCGCCGCCGCCGTCCGGGCGCGGGCCGGCGCGATGGTGAAGCTCGCTGCCAAGTGCCTGCTGGCAGGTGAGTCCGGCCCGCCCGCTCCCATCCGCCCCGCTGCCCACACGGGACCAGAGCGGGCGCCGCGGGGTCGGGCGAGGCCGGCAGCGCAGGAGGCCCGGCTTCCCACAGCCCCTCGTGGCGGGGCCGCCCCGCCGGAGAAGAGGTGGGGGGAGAGGCGGTGGGAGAGAAGGGAACACCTCGGCTGCCTGGGAACGGGAGCAGCGGCGGTCGTGTGTGTTATTAGCACTCGGTACCCGCCCCCGCCTAGCGCGTGGAGTGAGCGGTGCCCAGGGAGGGTGTGAGGTGCAGTTGGATCGGCTGAAATGCGAGGACAGGACCTGAGAAAGAGGAAAAAAACCAAACCCGAACCAAAAAGAGTATTTCGGCAGTATGGAAAGGTGGGCGCAGAGACTGGAGAAAGCGTGAAGGGAGCTAGGCAGCTGAGTCCTGCCTCATTTGTGAGCCGTGCTTTGGGCTTATGTGAAAAGTTCATGTTAGAAATTAGGATGATTCTGAGAGTATGATAGAAAGGTAAAGCCTAAATAAAGAGTAGAAAGTTGAGCACTTCACAGTGGCATCTTTTCCCCCAAACAACTTAGAGGCTAACCTGAGAAAAAAATGAGGTGAAGACACCAGTTTATTTAGTCAGGATGGATTATGGAGGTGTTGAAAGTGAGTACAGCTGGCTTTTAGAACTTTGTGAAAAATCTTGTTATTTTTGTCCCTCCTTCTACACTGAAGCTCTGTGCAGCCTCAGCCAAAAGCACAAATCTATAAAACCTTTGTGTGCAGTCAGCTCCCAGGTTTAACTCTTTGTTCGTAATTATTTCGTCTGGAATAAAATGTTTGCCTTTTTTAACCTCAGGAGCAGCTGGCCATCAACTCACACAAAGCCAGATGTGGTCTTTGGCAAAGGCAAAAGAATTGATCTCCCCTGTGGTTCTACTGCTGTGAACAGCATGAATATCTTGCCCATCTTCTACATTTGAAACATAGGCATCATTTCCAATTTGGAAGTTTCCTGCTCCCAGTACACTGGCTTTGCTGAAGTCTATCCAGTTTTGTTGTTTAGTGTTACCAAAGGCCAATTCCACAACCATTTTAAGATCACATAGGTTTTCTTTAGATGACCTGTTTATGTCCTTAATCCTTATTGGATCTGGAGTGGCCTTTTCAATTCTGTTCACAGCACAAAGAACAGGAATGTCCTATCCCATATGTCATTCTTCTATGTGCCACAATAATATCCATGTATTATTAAAAATAGTAAATTAGTGAAGCAGACTAGGAAAAATAGATTTTCTGTTGCAGAAAAAGCCACTAAAGTGAAAGGGACCAAAGACATGAGTAACCACAACAACCTAAAGGGAACAAGAACACGCAATTACATAAATAGGAGCAAACCCATCAGAAGTGGAACTGGGAGCTCTTGTGGACCTAAGGAAATGGTTATGAAAAGCCAGTGACACAGAATTGGGAGCTACACCAAGGTCAAAAAGAACAGGGGAAAAGGGCTCTTATTAGCAAAACAGAGACTATTGAATTGACAATAGAAGATGATTCCTGTGTTAGCTCAAGGGTCATTTACAGGCACAAAGTAAAAAGATCTGTTGTCTGAGCTTACTATGGAGACACTACACAAAGGTTTTCATTGTAGAGAAACAGCTGGCAGTAGCAGGCATTTTCAAAAGACTCTACAGATTCTGGCAGAATAACAGAAATATGGATAGAATATATACTGTGAGATGCACTACTGGCACGCCAGACTAAACTGAAAAGGGCAAGGAAATTTACTTTGAGGAAGTGTACTGGTGTGATGGGCTTAAGAGGATGGCAGAGAATAAAGAGGGAAAGAACACCTGGGGCTGTCAAGTGAAAGAAAGGCAATGCATTAGTTAAGAATTTGTGCTGGCTGATGCCTGCAGTTTGGAGCAATGTGTGCCTCTCTATCTCATTTTACAAAGACAGATCTAATTGTCTATTGAAATACAGAATAGCTTCCACTCAGAACAGAGTGTTGTCTTCCGCACAGGCTTGAGCTGATCAGAGAACAAACAAGCTGACTTACCAGATTTTCCTGTCTAAATATTATGAGCCCAACTCAGCTCAAAGTAAGCAGGCATGCTAAAAATGTTTAAACAAGAACTACATTTGGTTAATGCATCTAGGGGTAATTGTCAAAACCAACTATCCAAAACCCCCTTCCTTCTCTGAAATAGTATGTGAGCAGAGGGCTTAAACAATTTCCTTCAAAACACCATTAGGAAGCTGTAATAAAGTCAAAAATATACCTCTTTCTTGGTTTATTTATTAACAACTTAATGTAAAATACTTCCTTTCTGGCTTTATTTATTAACAACATAATGTGAAAGACTTGTATTCCAGGCTTGGCTGTAATGAGTGTGCCTTTGAGGGTAAAGCTTGAAGCACTGAGGTTTTTAATTACTGGTTCTTGTCCTTTTGACTATCCAGGCTAGCGAGACATTATGTGGAGAAATGATAAGCTCTTTGGAAGCATTAAGTCTTTGTTTAGAAGGGTTGTGATTTATCATCTTTTTCATGTAGTAATATGGGCATATGTGAGTTCTGTAGAGCCTGAGGAAATGGCCTGAAGTTGTGTCAGAGGAGGTTTAGGTTGGATGTTAGAAAAAGGTTCTTCACCCAGAGGGTGACTGGGCTCTGGAACAGCTCCCCAGGGAAGGGGTCACAGCACTAAGCCTGACGGAGCTGAAAAAGCATTTGGGCAATATTCTTGAGAGTCACATGGTGTGAATCTTGGGAATGGTCCTGTGCAGGGCCAGGAGCGGGACCCAGTGATCCTTGTGGGTCCCTTCCCACTCAGCATATTCTGTTCTGTGATCCTGTGATTGCTTTGGATCTCAGGGTTTTGTAAGAGCAAGCCAAAGCAGGCAGCTGTCAGGTTTGCCTGGAGTGTTGTGCATGCCATATCAGAAAGCCTTGGCTCTAGAAAAGCAAAAACCAAAGCCCCTTGCTTTTCCTTCCATACAGGGATGAATCAGCAGGCTCTTCTCTCCAGCCATGTGCTTTCTCTCTGACGTTTGCTTCTGTTATGCCCAGGATGCAACTAATGAGCCACCAGCAGCATTGAGTCAGCAAGAGTTGCTCTCTTAGCAGGGTCAGCAAGAAGAGTTCATTGAGAAATGTTACCAGCTTAAGCAGCTTTGTCTCAGTATATAACAAGGATTTGAGTCTGGGGAGATGGATAACCTAAGGAGAAGAAATAGCCTCCTAGGAAGCCCAGTCCCTTTTCACATTGTAGTTTTCTCTACATGATAACATATCTGGGAAATTTTAATTCCTAGGTAAGGGCTGTGGAGTAAGCATGAATTTTAGAACAAACAGCAGTTCCACCTTGATGTGGCAGTCGTTTGTTGTTGTGCATAGGTCAGAAATCAGATGTCAGCCACCAGTATGAATAATGGCAATATTCATTTCCTTGTGTGGATATTACCTTTGAGATGGTTTTGTGCTTCATGTGACAGTCAAATTACCTGTATTCAGAGTTAGAGCATGTGGGCTCTTACAACATTGATAGTATCAGAACTGAGGAAAAATAAGATTCTCTAGTATGAAATAAAAATATTTTACGTTTTTGGTTTTGCAGGAGATCCAGCTGTGGGTAAGAGTGCTTTAGCCCAGATGTTTCGCAGTGATGGGGGTCATTTTCAGAAGAACTACACACTAGTAAGCATACAACAAGCTCAGACTGCTGTCTAAATTTTTTTCTAAGATGAGTGGGAAAACTGAGAGGCCTAGAACAAAATAAATATGATTTTGAGGCATTCAAGGTGGGATCTTAGAGGGTTTTCTTTCTTCCACCCTAGATTCTGAAGAGAAGCGGTTAACATTCTGTAAGTCTGCATTATGTAGGTGCTGGTGTTGAAACTTAAGGCAGAGTAATTTAGTTAATCTTGTGATTTTCCTACTGAACCAATGTTTTCACAAGGTTTTGTGGTGTTAGAGAGCTTCCCCCTTTAGGGACTACTCTATGAAAAAGCACTGCTGAAGGAGAAAGCTTTTAATTCCAACTATTAAATGTGGATGTGGACAGTGCGCTTATCACTGTGCAAACACCAAGATGTGCTTCATAGCCCCAAGATAATTATAATCTACAGAAACTGTTCCCAGATGAAGAGGATACAGTTTGCAGTCTTTCAGTGTAAGAATCAATGGTGATGACTAATCAGAGGCAGGATAAAAATAAAAGTAAATATAAGTAAAGTAAAAAAAGGAAGATATGAGTGTGGAGGAAAAAAACCCCTAAAATATGTTTATTCATTGAAATAAAGATGGAAACCAGAATTTAAGGATAGAAATAGAACAAACAAATGAGCTACAAAGCAGAATGAGATAAAAGGTGGGAGAAGCACAAATAATCTCAGTCCCATATGTTAGCTCATCACATGGTTAGTGCAGAACGTTCGAAGGCGTGCGTTAGAGCAGCGGTGTGAGTGTGAGCGTAGACCTGCAGACTTCAGCTAATACTCTGAGCTGGAAATAAGCAAATCTCTTTGGTTCTCCTCCTTTTTCCCCCAGCTGAGCAAATCTATGAGCCTTTGACATATTGGTGAGATTAGGTTACCAGAGCTGGGAGGAGTATTGCTGAGTTTCCAGCGGTCTGTGTTTGATGAAATTGTAATGATTCACAAGAATTGCCTCAATCCAATGCACGGTTGGTATGCAGTTGGACAGGCTCTTAAAAACTCTCCTGATCCTCATTTTCCTGATTTTTCTTGACAGACAGCGGGCATAGAATTGTTGGTGAAGGCTGTATCAGTTCCAGAGACAAGTGATAGTGTGGTGAGTTTTTCTGTGACATAAATTGGGTAAGAAAGAGACATCCAGAGCTCAAGCCCCACACGAGTCTCATTCTGGTAGAAGATCACTATGCATGTTCATAGGGTAATTAAGTTGCATTAAGGAAATGAGGCTGATCATGTATAATTGCTGATGCTCCAGGGTTAGTTTAGTCTTAAAAGTGTAATTTTTATATACTTATATCCAACACAATATTTTAAACCAAAGTTATTGCCAGTTTTGTTGAGATTCTGTTCTGTCCTTTAGGACACTCAGGTTTAGTTCGTGGTTCTTGGAACTACAAAAGCCGAAGCTTATCTGTTATTTTTCCTTAATGCCCTATACTCCCACTAATGGAATGTATATAATTTTGTATAAATAGTAGAAGTTACTGTCCCACTTAACATATTCTGGAAACTAGGCTTCAGGCCTTGGAAGTAACTCTTTTACTGCTTATACTTGAAAAATGGCTATTTATTTTTTCATACTATCTGGAGTTTTCTCAGTGCGGGGAATTTGTCCCCTAGGGACATGACACTGCTGTACTGAATAAAATGTTGGAGTTACAAGCTGCAGTATTTACTTCCAAAACCTTTCCCTACACTGCATTTTTCTTGGCAAGAGCCTTCTTTCTGTTTCCGCTTTCAGGAATTCTTCATTTTTGACTCTGCAGGAAAAGATCTATTTTCTGAAATGCTGGAGAAACTGGTAAGTCTTATGTAACAGTCCTCTTCTTCCAAAGAAGTGCTTTTGCTTTGAAGATCTGAGCTCCCCAGTCTGGCAGATGTAGCAAACTTTGTCTTTAGTGTAAATGGGAGCAATTACCTCAGTTGCCAACGCATCCTGTTCTACCTCTCTAAAACTTGCGTAAGTACTAGAAGAAATACTTTCCAGAGAAAGGAAAGCAGATAGGCAGTTTTCTTACAAAAGAAATAGGAAACTTTAATGGAGAATTTCTGTGTACTGTTGTTTAAAGTTATTTTTATTTCTTAGAAAAACATCTGTTTTGCTGCGACTTCAACAGTGGGAGTTTTTTTTGTGTTACGGTGATGTGTTTGATCCAACAGGATTCATTCTTGTCCTTGAGCATAATCCTGCCCTTGGGTTTTTTCCTTCACATATTTGTGACCTTCCCTGTACAGTTCTCTACTGTGTTATCTCATTTTGAGAAGCAGAACCAGTTAATTAGTGTAAGCTTTCATAAGATGGCTAAGTCAACCTAATGGTTCATTGTCTACAAAAGCGATTCCACTTTTACACTTGCACTAGTTTGCAAGGGTCTTCTCTAGAAGCTGGCTCAGCTTCTCAAAGTGGAAGAAAACCTTTATACTTTTTTCCTAGGATTAATTTTGTGCTGATTCAGCATAAAAAATCAACTTCCCTGGGGACCAGATGAGTGCCAGAGCTGATACAAGGGGCAGGGCTGCACAGACAGGACTGGGGAGGAAAGCAAAACCACCTCTCCCAATGTCAGTGATTTAGTTGGGTCAATTGAAATGTGAAACCTCAGCCAGGGCATAGAATTCCTGGGTGTTAGGCTTTTTATTTTCATCTTAGCAGCTGTGTTTGCTACGTTTACAGCATGGCTGTTGACCACATCAGTTTCATTAGAGCTGACAGTGTTCCTTTCTTGCTGTGCAGTGGGAGCAGCCCAACGTCCTGTGCCTTGTGTATGATGTCACTAATGAGCAATCCTTTGACAACTGTAACAAATGGTTGGAGAAGCTGAGGGCTCAAGCAGTTGGGATGCACATCCCAGGTAAGAATGAGTGTGATTCTTGTTATCTACTCCCCTCTTGTATGACAGCAGTTGTTTCTGCTGAGCTGTGGAATAGAGCATTTATTTTAAGTCAGTGTCAGACATGGCTTCCTCCAACTCCTTTGCTTTTATCAAGAAACAGATAAGGCTTGAATATGTTTCCTTTTTGGAATCTTTTTTAGGTAGTTATAGACTATTTGCCACGTCTACAACTTCTTCAGTTACTTCTACAAATATTCCAGTATTTATGGCATACAAGTCAGCATTGATGAGCTGCGGTTTTTTTTCTTTCCTTCCATGTCTTTTTTTTTGTAGGTGTCTTAGTGGGGAATAAAACAGACCTAGCTGATCGTCGAGTTGTGGAGCAGGAACAAGCACAGGAGTGGGCTGAGAAACATGGCCTGGAATACTGTGAGATGTCAGTGGTGAGTATCTGCTCCTTTCACCATCTGTGCAAGGGGATGTTGGTAAAGTTATCTTTTCTTTCAGGCAGAGAAAGATAACTGGGGACTCTCTTCACCTTGTTTGTCATCTAACTCAGTTTTAATCCTTCTTTGGTGAAACAGAGCAGAAATAGTCAAATGCTTATTCCATCTGCAATTGACAATTTTCTTATTTCTTTACAGAAGGAAATGAAAAATTTTGAGGCCCCTTTCCACATCCTGGCAAAGTTATTCCACCAACTGTACAAAGAGAAAGTGGAAACTTTTCACTCACTAGCCTGACTGGTATGATTTATTTATCCTCTAAGCTTCTTCTAGTACTGAGAGTCCTGCTGGACTGAATACAGAGAGAAGAAAAAATATGAGCTATTTGCTACTTCATGGTCATCCTCTGGTAATTCAAAATAAACTAGAAATAGGCAAGTAGAAAGACACTCTTTAAAGCTGCTACCTCAGCATTCCTTTCATGTCCTCTAACTTGGTTCTCTGCTCATTGAAAGTCTGCTAGGTTGGAGGAGGCGGAGAGTAAAAGGGGAGGATAGAATGGAAATTGCCAGCTCTTTGCTTTAGTATCTTTTTGTCTGAATAGACTTCCTGCTGCTACAAGCAGGGATTTAGAGGTTTGGAAAAGGAGAGAGGAAGCTGACAGGATGTTTTTCGACTTAAGCCAGCCTTGATGCATATACTGCAGGGCAGGACCGATTTGGCCCTACCCCTTGAAAAGTATTTTCAGGAGGAGGCTTATTGCCTTAAAATCAACACCTAGAGACTGAGATGTGTGGAGGCAGAGATGGATTTCGGTGTGTTTCCAGGAGCACCCAGAGTTGGAGGCCAGTTTTAGCAGTGTTGCCTTTATCAATTGTAGGATTGATATGCTGGTGACTAATGCATGTTTCTAATTTCCAGAATCTGTTTCTTTCCTTCGGCGTGGCTCATTGTCCCTGCCTGGTGGGAGCTGTGTCGCGTCCAACCGCTGTCACTTGGTGACGCAGTGCCCTCTGCTGGTCCCAGGTCACAGGAGTTCTCCAGAGGCTGCCACCTCCCTTGAAGTGAGCAGGAAGGGCTTCCTGCAGGCACATCCAAACTGGCTTAGCTGCAAAATGGAGTGAAATTGCAAGAATACCTTTTCTATTCTAAAGATGAATCTAAAACTTACAAAAAATTACCTTTTCTTCTTCATGTCTTTATCATCTTACATATTGTTGTGTCATTTCTGTCAGCTGAATTTGGCAATACTGTTCTGATTAGGTTCAGCTCTCAATCTCAAAATCAGAGTCCTCTTATTAAAGTCTCTCTGCTTGTCATTGAATTTCAGATAAAAGACCACGGTTCTGATGTTGCTAGTGGAAACAGAACTAAGGAAATGAAAGACAGCCTGGCTAAGTTACTCTGACTCAGCTGTGTCTGGCTAGAAGTTTCATATTAGAAAGGGTAAAAGCCTAGAGAGAGTTGCTCTATTGTGTGGAGTACTGATGTTCCATGTGTAGAGTCCTTGCTAATGCAGTATGCAAAAGCATCTGTGGTAAGGCACTGCCTTGTAACTGAGCCTAACACCAAGAGTTTCAAAAATTTAACCACTATCTTCCCGATTATGGTAGACTCCCTTGGGCAAGGGAAACTGAGTTTTGTAAAGACTGAGCACTGAGTGATTTTTCAGGCAGCCTTTTCAGGAATCTGTGTTTCAAGACTTCAATATGTGTGGTTTATAATCATCTTTATGCCCAGTGCTAGGAAATGTACATTAAATTGAATGTAAGAAATATGGCTGCAGATGTTGTAGCAGACTTTATGAAGCACTTCAATAATCTGGAGAAGCAGTGGCCTCATTTCACTGGCAACAGTGTGTTGATGCTGAGAACTCACTAGGGAGCATGAATACCAGTTAAAGAGGATGAGTAGCAGCTCAATCTAAAAGAAGTAAAAACAAGAGGTTCTTTTGCTAAAAGCCAACTCAGAAATGACTGAACAAGCTGGGAAAGCTCCTGCTTTCCCCAAACAAGGAAGGAGTCCTGTATGGACTTAGGGTAACTGGAAGACTCACTCTTTTTGAACCGGATTCGCATTACTGGCATTTGTATCTAGCACGGGTTTTCTTGGGTGTTTTCTGTGTTAATCCTGGGTGTTTTCTGTTGATTTACATAGGCCTTATAGACTCTTCCTTGCAGGTGCTGGTATCTGCACCTTTTATTCTTACTCTGACTAGTAAGAATAAAAGCTACTTTGGATGCTGTGCTGATCCAGTTAAAGAACTAAAGAAGGTTTGTTTTTATTTGGTATCTCATTTCCCTCTGGTTCTATTGACAATGTGATCACAAAACAAGACACGTATTTTTTCATATTGAAAATAACATACCAGATGTGTATGTCACCTGTGACATGGTGTGTCTAGGGGGAAGAATGCCTTGGGAATAGGTAATAAAATGAATTCTGTGCAATCTTTAACCAGGGAGTCTGTCTCTCTGCACCTGAAGGACCTCCCGTAACTTCAAATAAACACTCTAAATGCACCTGTTAGATGAAGATTGGTGAATGCTGTTTTATAAAATAAATGCAAAGGCTGGAGGAGCTCATTAATGGAATGCTTGCAGTGGTGATTTGTGATTTATAGGGAAGCTGCTTTTGAGAAGTTAGTGAAGAAAAATGCAGCCCATGCAGGGAAAGATGTATTGCCTGAGAGAGGACATGTATGATCTAATTAGCTAACAGTAGGGATTCACCCACTGCCCCTTTCTCTTTTCCACAGGCCCCAACCACAGTTAGAAAAGAAGTCATGTCTAAAGCATGTTGTCCAACTTGCTTTTTACAGGACTGTTTCAAGCACTAGTGTGGACACAGTTTATATGTCCTTCGAAATAGTGTGTTTGACAATAACAATCTCAACCCTTTCAGATCTATTTAGCAGCGTAATATATTGTCCTTCCTGGCTAATGTGCTGTATAATACCAGCCTGATGCAACTAGTGGTTGTTGCTATTTTTCTGGCTTAATTGTGACCTTGGTTGTAGAGGCTAGGAGTGAAGAGGGGGTAAAAAACATGGAAGCCAAACATGGGAAGATAGTGGGAAATAGTTTTGTCTCCGTGTGAAGGAGTTCAGGGTGGTGAGTAAGTGAGCTGGACTGGCAGGATGAGTAAGAGTCTGGAGCTGTTATTAAGTTTCTCCTACCTGTTTACTGGCAGTCACATCTGTAGAGTGAGGATTTGTGTTTGCTGCTTATAGGCTTAGCATCAGTCTGAATTACAGATGCTGTGGAGAACAGTGGGAGGAAGACAGAAAGCCTGTCTGCTGACCAGGAAGCTTGTTGTCTTCTTACAGCTCCCCTGCTTTGTCCAGCTGTGCAGTGCTGCAGGTGCTCAGCATGAGTGTTACAACACAGAAGAGACTCAGCTCAACCAGGATTGAAATTTCAAAAGAAGGAGAAGGAAACAAAGAGGCCTTTAACTGGATTTGATAGATACATAGTCCATTTTCCTGCTTGCTTGTTTGATTAGACAAAACCATTTCTTTCCTCCCTGGAGTCCCTCCTTCTTACCTTTCTTTTGGTCCTCATGGGTCTGCACAAAATCTCTGTTATACTTGTGCCCTGCTTTACTTAGCTTGATACATCACCAGCTGATTTTTTTTTATCCTTCTAATTTCTGCATTATCTATTCCCAAGGCTGCAAGACATTTCTTCTTAGATTAATAGACAAAAGGAAACAAAAGTGGAATTTTTAGTCAAATTGTCTTGGAAGAAAAAGCCTTAAGAAGCTGTCTGACATTCTGAAATTTTACTGGAAATTCATTTGTGTAAAGTTGTCATATTAAAGATGCTTTAATGGTTTTGTTTTGTCTTGCCAGACATAGTCTACTGTGGAGTGAAATTCAGGATGTAAAATTCCAGAAAGATCATATTTTATTGTGGGAGTTAATAGGAGTTTCAAAGCTGATCACACTGTGATAAGATCTGTTAAGTCTTAACAATGGAGTGGTCACTGCTGTTCATAATGAAGCATTAAATATACTGAAATGGGGCTGTCAAAACAGTTTCTTCTAGGGATTTGTTCATTTTAAAGACTTTAAACTTAAGAAAGGACATCTTTTAAAAGACTGATCTGATAAATGACACCATTTGGATCAGGGTTATTTCTGATATAACTTCAGTGACTTGAAGAGCTGGATTTAGTCTTTTATGCCAATTGAGTCCCCTGGGTAAGCTTCATTTCTTTACCCACTATACATCTTGGACCGATCTGACCTGATAGCAAAAGACACATGATGTTGTTGAAAATGAAATACTGCCTTGGGGCAGAAGGATAAACTGTGTGGCCTCCTGAGGTCCTCCCAGCAATACTTTCTATAATTCTATTAGATTAAGTGAGGAAAGAAGTAGCGTGGAAAGCACAAAACAGGCTAAGCCATAAACTAGCAATTAAACTGGGAGCTGGGCAGAAAACGTACAATCTATCCCAATTAAGAGCTGTATCTCAAGAGAAACTGGGAGCCTGACGCAGGTGCTGACAGCAGGGAAAACTCTGCATTTCTGTTCTGGAGGCAGCAACTGCTTTCTGCTGCTGCTTATGCAGATCTGTGGGGGTCCTTACGCAACTCAAGGCTGTGCTCTGTTTTTAATAATTACTGTATCTCTCATGTTCAGGTGGCAGTTGCTTGCAGTTGTGGTCTCATCTGCCTACACAAAGTCAGCAGCATCATGTCAGATTATTCACTGGTGGCAGGAAGACATCCCTATTATTGACACCTGCATGATGGGACCCCTCTCTCCCCATGCATTCTCAGTCCTTTTCCTATCTCGTATCTGCTCCTTGGTGGACAGTATCCACCTCTGCTTGCTCTTAACAAGTAATTTTTCCATCTTGCAGATGGTACTCTGTGGAACCTAGGGCTGAGGGACATCTCAAAGGTGGAGTCAGAGCAGGAGCACTTCAAGGGCCATGTTGGCCTCCACAACATCCCTTTTGGCCTAGGGGTACATCATCTCTCTACTCCTCGTGTCCTATTTCCTCCTCCTGCTGTCATTTTGCCTGGAGAACAATGTCTTATGTGCCACTTGCCCTTGGCGCTGTTGACCCAGAACAACAATGCTTGGAGGAGGGAGGAAGAAGAGAGCTAGACTCAGTCTTGAGTCTTTTCAGGGCTCTTTAGCTGTTGTGACTCCTTGTGGAAGTCACCTGAGAGATGGGAGTGTTGCTCAGTCTAGGGTGTAATTTCCTGGCAGGAGACCACTAACAGAGTCCTGGCAGCCTCATCTGGGCTCTTCAGAGCTTGCTGCAGTGTAACTTTGTCAGACACTGGCTGTTCTCCTTCTAACCTGGGGTTTTGGTGGGAATTTTTGATAGGGGTTTTTTACTTCTTGGAGGTCTTTCATTTATCTGTCATGGCTTCACGTATTTCCTCCCCTAGAGTTGTTTGTCAAAAGAAGCTTAGAATTGCTCCCTTTCCTGGTTTCTGAGATTTAATCTGGAAATGTTTAAAAGGGAAATGTGACAGAACCTACATGTCAAGCTGGGGTCAGGGATGGGGTCAGTTTGATGAGTTTCCCTCCAGCCAGATATACATCAATTGGAGATATGTGGAGCCTGTGATCCTTCTGCACAAGTACTAGAAAAATAGCCAATATGAGGGCTGCCAGTTAGGGACTGTGAGGAAAAGGATATAAAGGCAGAAGAATCGGCTTCTGTGACCCAGACAGGGGAAAATGCAGGAGCACTAGGGGAACAGGAATATGTAGGAAATATGTAGGGCTGTATTCCTTCATGAAGAGCCCAAAGGATTTGCTGAGGCAGATTGGGAGGGTGGGATTTAGGAATGGGAAAACCTGAGGCTTTTCCTGTCTTTTAGAATGCTGTATGGAAATAAAGTGGGAGGGAAAGTAATTTTTGCATGAGCCACTGAGGGAAAATGAGGATACAGGGTAGAGCTGGATGACCTTGCAGGTGGAAGGGCAAGTGATAAGAATAAATAACTGAAAGGAGATTTTCCAGGCCAAGCTCTCAGGGCCAAGGGCAGACAGGGAGTTCAGAGCCATGATGAGGAAGGCTACTGGTAGCCATCAGTTTAGATTTAAGATGTAGGGCCTGCATTAGAGCAAGGCAGGAAGAGTTAAAGACTGTGTGACAGGGTTGACACTGGAATTTGAAAGGGCAGTAGCAAGGATCCAGAATGGTAAACCTAGGAATAGTGTGGGGAGATAAGCACAGCAAGCTGTGATGCTGTGAGCAGCAGTGGCTGGAGACAGCGTACCTAGGTGAGACCAGAAAAAATAGAGTAGGTATGCTGAGGGCACTATCAGACTATCAGGGTGGAAGAGTGTGAAGAGATGTTGGAAATTCATATTTGAGTACAGCTCTTCTGAGGGAATTTCTGAGTGAAGGGAAATAGATATCTACAACTGGTACCCACACATCTTCATAAATACATTTAAAACACAAAATAATTCCAATGCTATATATGCTATCTCTATTTTCCTTTGCCAAAAATTATCATGATCTTTCTGCTTAAACACTTTTTTTTGTTTTTTGTTGAGGGGGAGGGGGAAAGTGGACAACAACACATATGTTTACGCCTAATTGTGATGCTGCATCATGAATACATTCAGGAAATGGAAAGAGAACCTGCACCTCCACCTGACCAGGCAGAAATGCCTGCTGCTACTTCAGCATTGATATCTCACAACAGAAACTTCACAATCAGTTCATACAGCAAAAGGGATGGAAGGAATATTTTCTGTGTTGGTTTTCCTTCTCTGATTTTGCTAATTCATTTTTATTCCTGTGAAGGATTGCTCTCTCTTAGTCTAACAGTTATGTGTGGCCATTGTGGGCCAGTTATAGGACTTTGTGATGTTGGGTGGCTTCTGTTTGAGGACTGTAAAACTGAAAGTGTTGAGATTCAGGTTACAGTTGAAGCATCAAGCATAAAATCAGCTTGTAGGCACAGAAGGACAGAGTATCTAGGAAAGATGTCTTGCAGGGTTAAGATAATGCTTTTCAGTGCTGTTGTCAGCAAAGAGAGGCTGCAATGAATGTGAAAATGTTAGGAAGGAATTCTGGTGGGTTTGGAAAGGGTAACAAGTATAGGTTTCTTCTAACAGGT